AGTTGGACCCAAGGAAGCACACATCAAAGCACATCATAATTACATTACCCAAGATTAAAGATAAGGACAGAATCTTAAAAGCAGCAAGAGCAAAGGAGACCGTTACCTACAAAAGAGTGCCCATAAGACTATCAGCTGATTTCTCAAAAGAAACCTTGCAGGCAAGAAGGGGCTGGAAAGAAGTATTCAAATTCATGAAAGGCAAGGACCTACATCCAAGATTACTCTATCCAGCAAAGCTATCATTTAGAATGGAAGGGTAGATACAGTGCTTCCCAGATAAGGTCAAGTTAAAGGAGGTTATCATCACCAAACCCTTATTATACGAAATGTTAAAGGGACTTATCTAAGAAAAAGGTCAAAAACTGTAAACAATAAAATGACAACAAACCCACAACTATCAACAACTGAACCTAAGGAAAAAAAAAACAAAGGCAAAAGCAAACTAAGCAAATAACTAGAACAGGAACAGAATCACAGAAATGGAGATCTCATGGAGGTTATCAGAGGGGAGGGGGAGAGGAGAGAATGGGGGAAAAGGTACAAGGACTAAGAAGCATAATTGGTAGGTACAAAATAGATGGGAGGTTAAGAATAGTATAGGAAATGGAGAAGCCAAAGAACTTATATGTACAACCCATGGACATGAACTAAGAGTGGGAGGAATGCTGGTGGGGGAGGGTGGAAACAGGGAAGAGGGGAACAAAGGAGAGAATAAAGGGGGGCAACGGTAATAGCATAATCAATAAAATATATATATAAATTTCTTTTAAAAAAGAAGTACAAATAGGTAGTCACAGAATAGCCTTGGGGATGTAAAGTACAGTATAGGAAATGGAGTAACCAAAGAACTTATACACATGACCCATCAACATGAACAATGGTGGGAGGATTGCCTGAGGATTGAGGGTTTCTGGGTCAAGAGGGGCAAAGGGGAAAAAATCAGGACAACCGTAATAGCATAATCAATAAAATATAATTTTAAAAAGAGAACTAAAAAAGGAAAATGAAAATACAACATATCAAAAACAGATGGATGCAGCTAAAGAAATGCTTCAAAAGAAATTTTAGCATGAAATGACTCGATTACGCTAAAGAGGAGAACTATACACTCACAGCATCATCTAGTTGGTAACTTTTTTCTCACTGTGGTACATATTTGCAATTCTGAAACTAATTTACATGCATATTATGGTCAAACAAGAAAATGTATTGTAGCCCCATGACTATTTTTATAACTGGCAATTTGTAAAAATGGTCACAGGGATACAATCTGTTTTCTTGTTTGACCATAGTATGCATGTAAATTAAAGCACAGCACAGGGAATATAGTCAATAATATTGTAATTATTACATATGGTGTTGGATGGGTTCTACAAGTATCGGGGGATCACTTTGTAAGTTAGATATAAATGTTTAATCAGTATGTAGTACACCTGAAACTGAATAATACTGTATTTCAAATATAACTTAAAATTTTTTTAATTTTAAAAGACATGCTGGAAACAAGAAAGAAAGAGAGAGAGAGAAAATGTACCCTAAATACTGGGAGTCAGAATTCTCACTGTTAGAGAAAGTCACAAACACAGAAAAGGAAAAAGGCTGGAGTAAATCCTGTGGTGCTGGACTGGGGTCAGAGATATCAGTGTAAGCCCATTTTTTAAATTTTACTAAATATAGTGATAGACACACACATTTCCCAGCCATGTCCTCTGAGGGACTAGAAAATGACCCTCCAGTAGTAGCCAGCACACCCAGCACCCAGACCTCTGGCTCTAAACTTCACTCTCCAATAAAAGGAACCAGAAATTTGGGGGCTGGGCAGGAAGCGAGCAAAATAGATGACCCTGGATCATCTTCTGTGGTCATAAATTAAGGAAGTGCTAAAAAAAGAAAGTGAGCACTTCAAAAGAATATAGGAGTGAGCTCAGTGGGGAAAAGAATTGTGATCATTCATTGATGTCTGTTAAGGACAAGGAATAAAAAGTGGCCACGGAGGGGGCACGGGGCACAGGAGACACACATGCCAAGCATTTGACACCTCTACTTTGGGAAATGCTTGCTCTGTAAGGTGTTACCCTCCATACCTATGTGTGATCTCCTTTGTAATCCAGCTTATGTAATATCTATGGTGACCATCCTTCGCCAGACTAATAATGAACCATTATGTGTTAACATAATTTCCTTAACCGATACTATATGAGAATATTCATGGTGTCTGGTCACCATAGTATTTGTGGAAAAACAGGGCCAGCCTTGAGTTTCCAGTAAGAAATTGGTGCCTCAATTCAGGTGTGAGAACAACAGGAAATGGCATAGCAATTAAAAAGCATTAACAAACCTTCATGCACTACTTAGGGGTTTTCTGACATTATTAATAAAAGAAGAGAAGTAAAAATAATAGTCCTAAAATATCAAGATTATGAAGCAGTCTTGTCCATAACTCTAAGGGAGTTTATTCACAGTTTGAAAGAAAAAAAAGAAAAACAGCAAAAGTTGAGAAAGGGGATTAAAAGAAGAGAGAATATATGGGCGTCAACATAAAAGAGCTTCCAATAGCCAAATTTGGACCAATCATAGCAACTAAATAAATAAGACAAATGAAAGAGAGAAAACTTTAGTCAAAATTCAACATCCATGATAAAAATGTTCAGCCAACTAGAAGAAGGGAACTTCCTCAGCATAACAAAGGGCACCCATAGAATCCTGCAGTGCGTATTCGCACTCATTGGGAAAATACTAAGTGACTTTCCTCTAAAATCAGAAAGAGAAGGCTGTCTACTCTCACCACTGACATTCAGTATAGTGGTGGAGGTTTTAGCCAGTCCAACAAAGCAAGAAAAAGAAAAAAAGTCATAAATACTGGCAAGGAAAAAGTAAAACTAAGCACATGTAATCTGACTGTGAATATAGAAAATCCTAGAGTCTATAAAGAAATTACTAGATCTAGTAAGTAAATTTAGTGAGAATACAGGATGCAGGGACAATATTTAAAAATCAGTTACACTTCATATGACATTAACAAATGATTGGTAATTAAATTTTCAAAGCAACCCCATTCAAATAAGCATATTTATAGAGTTGTGAGTGCATCACCACCTAATTTTAGAACATTTCATCATCCCATAGAGAAACCCCATACTCATTAGCAGTCACTCCTCATTCCTTCCTTTACCTCCTAGTCTCAACAACCCATCTACTTTCTGTCTCTCTGAACCGGACTCTTTTGGAAATTTCATATTCATGGAATCATATAATATAATATGATTCTTGTTGTTAGCTTCTTTCACCTGGCATAATGTTTTCCAGGTCCATGCTTGCTGTAGCACATACCAGTACTTCACTCGTTTTCGTTGATGAATAATAATCGGTTATGTAGATTTAATGTATTTGTTTATTCATTTATTAGTTGATGGACATTTGGTTTATTTCCACATTTTGGGTATTATAAATGTTGCTATGAATGTTCAAGTACAAGTTTTACATACACGTTTTCATTTTTGTGTGTATATACCTAAGAGGGGAATTGCTGGGTTATGGTAATTTCATGTTTAACATTTAAAGAACTGCAAACTGTCTTCCAAACCACCAGTAATGTGCAAAAGTTCCATTTCACCCTATCCTCAATAACACACATTATTAGTATCTGTCTTTTTTATTCTTGCTGTCTGAGTGGATGTGAGTGGTATCTTATTATTGTCTTGATTTTCTTTTCCCTGATGAATAATGACTTTTAGCTTTTTTGTATGTTTATTGACCATCTGTATATCTTCTTTGAAGAAATGTCTATTCCAATCTTGCCCATTTTTCAGTTGGGTTATTAGTCATTTTATTGTTGAATTGCTATCATTGTATATGTTATAGATACAAGTCCCTTATCCAATATAAATTTGCAAGTATTTTCTCCCATTTTGTGAGCAGTCTATTCATTTTCTTAGTGTCCTTTGAGGCACAAACACATTCTACTTCTTACGAAGTCCACTTTATTATAAAAGACCACTTTGTTATAAAAGGATGTGAATAAGGACACAGGTGAACATCTAGAGGGAAGAGAGGCATAGGGTGAGGCATTGGGGAAGGGGCGTGGAGCTTCCACCCCCTCTCTGCGCTCCACTGCTCCACTCTCCGCTCCACTCTCCCCGCACCTCCACCGGTTCACCAACCCTGAAGGAAACTCTCTGAACCCTGTATGTTTGGGGTTTTATGGAGACTTTATCATGTAGGCATGATCCATTGTTAAGTCCATTTCCAGCTCCTCTCCCTCTTTGCAGAATTCCGTGGAGGGCTGAAAATTCCAAGTTTCTAACCATAGCTTTATCTTTCTTGTGGCCAGCTCTCACCCAGTGGCCCACCCAGAGTCACCTCGTTAGGACAAAAGATGTTATCACCCAGAAAATCCCAAGGGTTTCAGGAGCTCTGTGTCAGAACCAGAATTGGCAAATCCCAATTTTCTGATCTACAGAATGTGATAAAGACCATTACTGCCCAGGCAACCTCCTCCGTCTGTGAGGAGGAACAAATGAAGGCCTGTATAAAACTGAGGTTCCATGTGAATTTGCAGTACTATTGCTTACTGCTGCTTTATTACAGCCTGACTCCTCCCCTGCTCCCAACATATTCACACACCTTGACCTATTTTTGAAAACTTTACTGCAAATTAAAGCCTTTATCAGGGGTAGAGAAATTCTAAGTCTTTGAGTCTATTTCTCTTAGAAACTCAGGAGAAAAGCTGGTCCAGGTCTCCTCAAATTCTCTGAGGATCCCATTCACCTGGATACACAGACTGTCAAGATGTGGACACCACTTTTAACCCGAGGACCAGATTAACCACAGACTCCTTCATGCTCACAGTGAGGAAATGAAGCATGAAAGAAAAGGAAGCCTCTCCTCTCATTGCGGTCAGTGCCAGAGCCTCCACTCACCTTGAGAAAGTAAACCCTGAGGGCCATCTCACCTGCTGGTGAAGATCAGGGCCAAGGTTGTGGCAGGTGAGGCTCAGCCCAAGGGTCTGCATTTGGTAATCAATGATCTTGACCTCTTCCTTGCCTTTGGGCCCAAACTGCCTCTGGCTAGAGAGAATCAAGGAGACAATGGTTTTACCACAGCCAATAGGCAACCTCATTCCCAGAGCTAAAAGGACCAAGCAGCCATTTGTACTGAAGCCATTCTAACACTTCAGAATACACAAGTCTCTGAAGCTATGGGTAAGACCGTAAGATATTAAAAGTTCCTGAAGACAGTAAAACAGAAAACTTTGCAGTTCCTCTGGAAATTAACCTTCCACATGGAATATTTTTAAAACAGCATATCTATTTAATACACAGAGTAATTTTTACTCCTTCACATTTACATGGCATTTCACAGTACCAAGTGTCCCACAATCATTAATTATTCAGCTTTACTAAGTTTGTGACATAATTAATAGGATGGGAGCAACATCCTAGAACATATTTCAAAAGAACATTCTCTACAAGGAGGCGACGCTGACGCTGGCGCTCCTGTCAGACTCACAGTCAGGCCATTACTGTCGGCCCACTTGCAGGCCGCCAGGGCTCCGCTCGGAGAAGGTACTCTCCATATCTCACCCTAAATCCTGTGCTCTGTAAACATTGCTGCATTTTGGCCTAAGGCCATTGTGTCAGTGTTAATTGAGATCTTCCTTGGAGCAGTTTATAACATGGGGTGGGACTGTCCCTGCAGGCAACACCCATGGACCAATCTTACAGCATCCCTAGGCCTATGGGAGGTCAGCCTTCTGCCCCAGGCAGGCAGATGCTCTACAGTGCTGGGAGGGGCAGCATCCTGTTTAAATGCCTCTGACCTTTTGGTTGATTTCTGAAAGAACATTTCACACACACACATATTCATACTCGCACATGTGCACACATGCACACACATGCTCTTATGCACACACACGTATACATAGGCATATACACACAGTGATACATTATCAAACAGGCAAGGCATACCTGTGCTTCAGATACTAGTTAAGTGAAACTTCCATCCATCACTCAAAGTGAGAAAGAAAGAAGCATTTTGTCTTCATTTTTATACTTGATAAAGACTTTCTTAAATATAACTGAATACTTTAGTAACTATCTGCATTTGTCATTTTTAAAGTTACCAAGATCTTTTTAGTGCTTTAGGTGTGTAGAGTTCATGCCCAGCCCTGTAGTGTGGGCAGGAGGTGGTGAGGACACCACAACCGTGAGCACTCAGGGCGGCTGCTCTGCGCACTGTGGGCACAGGCTCCTTTCTACGAGCACAGCTTCCCAGGCAGCCTGACACCCCGCAGACAGGTTTCCGAGGAACACTGCCAGGCCTGCCCTCAGTCCACCCTGCCCAACACAGCGGGGGGCCATGGCACCAAACAAGCCCTGACAAGCTGAAGGAAACCTCTCAACTTCGGCTGGATCACACAAAATCAATCTAAAAACTCACAACCCCAGTAATGCTGTCATCACAATGTCAGGTCCTTTTACACATTCCGTTTGTCCCCATGCGCTTGACTTTCATTTTTAAATGCTTTGATTATAGTGTACCTTTTTCTATGGTTGTTAGTTTAAAATATTTTCTACTAAAACTAGACATTGCTGCATGTTATTCACTCGCCTTGGAGACATCCACATGCCAGCTCCACACTAGGCACTGGACATAAACCAGGGTCAGGAAGCTCCTACAGAGTGACACCCAGGTGCCTCAGAAGCCGACCTGAGCCACACCTGAGTGTCCCAACTCCCCACTTGAGGGCATGTGAGGGGCAACCACACATTGATGTTTCTCTCCCTCTCTTTGCCCTCCTTTCCCTTCTCTCTAAAAATAAATAAAATCTTTTTAAAAAACAAACAAACAACAATAACAACAGAAAACTGGCCTTCCCTTTGTGTCCAGGGAGCACACTTTTGGTTTCTATCTGAGGCTGCATTTCCCCAGTTTGCAAACTGTTCACAGGAATAAAGTTTCTCCTTTTGTCACACCACAGATTGTGGACTCCTTTTGGCCTTGGATTGGTGAAAGGAACCTTTTGTTGATACATTTTTCCCGCTAATAACCTTTAGACATCTTCCCACTCTGGACCTTTGTCTAGGCAGAGCAAATGGGGATTAAAAAAAGCTCCATTTGCAGCTATCCCCACCCCTAACAGCCACACGTCACTTTTGGTGGCTCAGCCAAATCTCCTCTCTCCACTGAAACCTTCTCCTTCCTCAGCTCACTCTTCAAAACCCAAACCAAACCAGTCTAAGCAGAAAGCTGCATCTCCTCAGAATGCCCAAGCATTTCATGTTGCTCCTCCCACACGGGAGCACTTTTCCCTTCACGCTGGCGTGTGTGCACCTGTATAAACCACAAGTTTCGATGCGTTGACATCTGGGCCCTTGCAGACACTGAAGGGACTGCCCCTCCCGGGGCCAGCCTTTCCTAGAGAGAGCAAATGACTCCTCTGTGAGCACATCTTCCAAGGCAAACTAACCAATGCAGAGCCCACATCCCTAGTCAATGCCTTTGTGCAGTTCTTCCACTCTGGGCCAGAGGCAGCCCCCATGTAACAGAACCTTCAAAATTCTTCAGTTTAGCCAGTCCTAACCCTGCTTCACCCATTCCTTCCCATTGAAACCACAATAAAGGCTTTTGTCTGTGTGTGCCCTGGGCTCCCTCTGCCTCCTGGCTGCCCCCGGTGCTGCCGGTGCGGCCCTGTGAAGCACCGCGGGCAGTCAGGACACAACCCTCCTCTTAGGAACCACGATAGCAAGTTATCTTTTCAAACGCAATCATCTCCCGATCTGCCTGCCTCACCATCCCTGAACAATAATAAAATTATGTTTTAAAACAGTACTGTGGCAGGACTAACAGAGGGCAGGAAAGACTGAGAGTAGAACGACAGACTGAAGTTCGCCACCCCTCAACAGCTCCATACCCACCCGTCCGCACACCGCTGCTCCTTGGAACATTTGCTTGTTACTCGATGTTCTGATAATAGTATCTGGGTGGGAGTAGTGGGCAGTTAAGCCATGGGCAGAGGGGGCAAATAAAACAAGAACCCACCCTGCTACCAGTCCCACCCCCACTGGTTTGCTTGGTTTTGTGCTGTTTACTATGGACTCAGAAGGAAACCGGTGAGTGGGCAGAAGACAGGCAGCAGCCACCCTCTCTCCTTCCTTCCCTCTGGCCCAAGACAATGACAGTTCCCTAGCAGCCTGGGAGAGGTTCCCGCCAGCTTCTCACCCATAAAATGTGTTCTTTGGCTTCTTCAGGAGAATACATGACTCAAAAGGCTAATCATCCTTCTCTTGCCCAGAGATGCAGCCAGAGATTGTCCCCTGATGACCACCAACTGCCCCAAGGAGGGCAGCCTGGCTCCAGCAGAGGCAGCAGGGAGAAGGGCCTCAAGACCGCTCTGAGAGGGCACAGACCGTGCGGCAACCCTGCCCCGCCACTCTGTGGTCACCCTCTTATTTATGCTCTCGGATCCCAGCTGACCGCGCTGAGGGCCATGAGGTCCAGGCTGTCCTCTGGTTGCTAGGGCCTGGCAAGCTGCCCTGGACACAGCTCCTAGGGCTGCAAGCCCACCACCAGCCAGCAGCGGCTGCCTGCCAGATGTCCTTACTGCTCCAGGTTACCATCCACATGGGCGCAAGAGTCTTCCCATCTCTTTCCTCCACCGGGTTACTATTTTTCTTGAAAAATACATGTAAAGGCTATATTTTTCTCTGTAAACATAATTTTTATTTCAGTTCTGGAAAAAACCTCAAAGTCACTGAGCTCAAATTTTTCATGGTCTTTAAAAACAACAAGTGACGTGTATGCCCACAATATCCATGTGAGGATGAAGCCGAGGCTCTGAGCTGCTGTGAATGATGCTGTTTAAAATTATAGATTTGAAAAGCTATTTCTGGATCCCAGCAACTCGTAAGAAAGAGAGGAAACGTTTATTTTGAGTTGTTTTATTTCATTCCCACTCAATTTTGAACACGGCTGCTTACAGCAACATTCATGGGAAGTGACATGGCTATTAATCACCAGTGCAGCTACCGCATGCACAGCCTCTCGGGGAGGCCGCGTACCCGCCTTCCCTGTGCTCCCTCTGGTCTCTTCTCCCAAAGGAGGCCAGTGACCTACTAAAAAGATAATTGCTTCACATGTTTCTTGCTCTGCAGCATCATTGCGTCAGTCTACTCCGAATGACATATGTCAAACCAGAAAAAGAAGAGTTTTGTGGCTGGGCCTCTGCCTTCACCCCAAGACTTCCTGGGGTACAAGCTTGTTTGCATGCAACCCTGCATTGAAAGATCAGGCTCAACATGTTACATCACCATGCCTTAGCTTTCATACTTCCGGTGTGTGCACGCACACGCACACGCACGCATATAGCATACAGATAAATGCTTCTTTAATTGTAGCCCTAGCTGTGTTTAAATACATAAAATTGCCCCGAGGAAGAGTTCTCAAAGTGCCCTTTCAATCCTGCAGAATTCCCAACAAACTTTTGCACCTTCCAAATGCTTTTCTTTCTCCCAGCCCTCAATAGTCTATCAATCCAACCACCAAAGAATAGAAGAGGTGATTCTCAGCAGTTATGACAGATCAATGGAGATGACACAATTTTAAACACAAGAATATTTCAGATATGGAAAGAAATGAGGATGCTTTGTTGTTGTCAGTGTCAAAAAACCTATGCAAAGAGCAGGGAGCCACCCTAAATCCACAAACGCAGACCAGAGAGCCCCTGTTTTCTCAACAAGGCAGTGCAGAGATAAAAAGGCTTTGCTGTTCCTTTCCCCCTTCTCAAAGGTCACACAAAATCAAAACGCCAGGGACATAAAGGTTCTCCACAACGGGAACTTATGGGTCTCAAGTCGTGGCCAATGGTCAGTGGAGACTGACATTCTGGTTCCTGTGGCTACAGAGTGCAGCGCCCATGGAGCAGGCTGCAGGACCCCGGGGATCGCAATCAGACCATCTCCTCCCACAAGCAGATGGATGATCCCAGGGGAGACCCCAGAAGCCCTTCAGATAAGAGACAACACAAGACAAAAGAACCAGCAGTGCTGTCTCCATGTTTCTATTGAGT